ACTACTAACTACATCTTTAAGCAACCTTTATTTGAAGTATAACACACAAACAGAAAAGTAGACAAATTACAAATATGTAACATTTCACTTTTTTGGTGGGGGGTGGTGGCAGTACTGGGGTTTGAACTCTGGGCCTCCTACTTGCTAGGCAGGTGCTCTACTACTTGAGCCACTCCACTAGCCAAGTATGTAACATTTCAGAAAGTGAACTTATCCATATAACTAGAATCCAGATCAACAGAATAGAGCCAGCACCTTCTGTGCCCTCATACCCTGCTCCACTCACGACTATCAGATACCTTACACCTAGCACTATAGCTTTGTCACCTATATTTTGTAAAGAGTAAGCTTTGTTTAGAGACGGTGACCTAGAAAAGTCATAGGAATAGTGGCAAGTGGAGGAAGGACTGGGAGACAGGGACTCTGTCCTTAGCTAGATATGTTTCATAACACATGTCTATGTTCAAGTAGGGAATGATGGTTCCATAATCAGGCTACAGGTAGAGAAAGGTGGGAAGAAGGGAAATGAAGAGGTTTGGAAATGGGGGGCACAGGTCAGCAGGTGCCTAGGAGCTGCTGAAGTGAAACAGAAGTTGCAGCCAGAGGGAATTGAAAGGCTGGACCCTTTTCCATTTGCTCTGCACAGGGATCCTTGAGTAAGCCTCAGGGACCTCCTCCTGGGCCATTACCCTCACTGCCTCACTCTTTGACTAAATTTAGACTTGGGTACTAGAGGTGTTAAGAGTAGGGTGGTGTGTGTGGAGTTCTTCACTGAAAAGAAAATTAATGCCTCATACTGGTTCTGTGCAACACTCACAAGGGGAACAAATTTGCTGTTTGGGAAAAACTATGTGGGAAACAGCAGCCCTAAAACTGGAAATGGGCCTTATATTTCTTGAGCTAAGTCTCTACTACTTAATCATGGCCAAGCCACTTTAACTGTCTGAGCTTGTCTCCTTGTTGCTAAAAAAAGGATGTTCACTATGTCCCAGGGGTTTTGTGAGGATCAAATGAGCTCTAACAGTATTTTGTCAGCTGCAAAATGCTATTCACATTAAAGTTTTTATTGATATTAAACATGAGACTTCCAAAGTAAGATATTATTAGTCTGTACTTACCATTACCTACCTGCTTCTCTTTTATACACACACACTTGAAGATTAAGTAGCAGATTGTAGACAGGCTGGTAGTAACAAAGTACTACTACCAAGAGCAAGGCCTCAGTCCCTAAACCTGGTAAGTCCAGTTTGAGCTTAGGCCCTTGCCAGCTCACAACCATTATTCTTGGGGAAACTGCTGTTTTCCGAGACCCTTGATCTATCAGCCATCAGTCCTTTCTTGGGTTGGAGGCAACAGTCGTGAATGCACCGCCACTTAACCCCTCCATTTTTGGAAGACCCTAACCCCATAGCATTTGATAAGTAGAGTGGAAAACAAGTAGGTAGACAAGGGGAAAGCAGCCTACTTCTCTTTCTAGTCTTTTGTATGAGTTGAATCTGACCTGCTGAACAGAAGAAGAATCTTACCCTTCTGAAGGAGAGGTCAAATTACTGAGCAACAGACCAAGGTACTAGAGCACCTGCCTAGCAAACGCAAGGCCCCAAGTTCAAACCCTAGTACCACCAAAACATAAAATTAAAATAGCTCGTTATGATCAAAAGATGCTTTAAAAAGAGAGGCTGAAGATCTTAAGACCCTGGGCAGATTCAGAACCTCAGCAGCTAGAATGGGACTGAAACTGACAGACACGAAAGGCAGGATAGAGACCTTATGAGTGGAATTCAGGAAAGCAGTATCACTGCTTGAGACCCTCTCACTGGACAACCTACTCTCAGAGAGCCTAGAACCAAGCCCCTGTCTTGGTGTCTTTGGGCTCCCAGTAGGGGATGGGAATACAGCACTTTGCAGCTTGTCTGGGCTGCTGAGTGGCACCATATGTAGATTCAAGTGGCAAGCAGACAAGGCAAGAAAGTAATTTACAAGCAGCTCCCAGGCAAAGGGGCTGTAGCAAAGTTGTCTCCCTGCGCCCCCAACCCCCCCTGCCACGAAGCATCAGCAGCCATCTGTTGGTTCCTGAAAGACTATTAGGGCCCAATTCAGTGTGGGACTGAGGCAGCCAGGCTGTGGTTATCTGTGCAGGCTCCTCATCTCTCCTCCCCACAACTGTTTCCATTCTCACCAAGCAGCCACGTCCGGGTCAGACACACAATACAGAAGCTGGGACTTTCCAAGGGACTTTTTCAGAATGCTGGTGAAAGTTTGAGTGTTGGTTACATAGCGTAGGCACTCTTGGGGAAGCCTACTTCTTCCCTCTAGTATGTCAACTTTAGCCTAGTGGGGTTGTTGGAGCTACTGTCCAAGGCTCCTTTCAGATTGAAATGTCACAAAAGAAATCCACCCATGGAGCTTTCAGTTGGCTGGGCTAGAGAAACTCTTTAAAAACTGGAATTGGGGTTAACAGTCCATTTCCTCAGAACTTGAAGGAACCAGTGAAAATGGTTCTAGTTTGAGAATGGCCTATGAGTGAACATGAGCAGCCTGGACAGACTGTTTTCCATGGATCTATGAGAGGACAAGGTTGGGACAAGGGAGACAAACATGGGCGAGTCAGCATCTCCTCCCACACTTCAGGTCACAGGTAACCCAAAATTGACTCACTAGCAACACCAGGTGGCTGTGAGACACAAAGCCTAATGCAGGCATCTCTACTAGCAAATCAGAGTTGTGGTTCTGGGAATTCCCCACCTGCACCTCCGTACTTTTGAGTGATTGTGCCATACCATAAATATTGAAGAAAGGCTAATAAAACAGAGAGCCCACAATTTTCACCTTTTTTAAAATTTTTTTTTTTTGGGTCAGGGTCTTGCTATGTAGCCCAGGCTAGCTTCAAACTTGTGATTCTCCTGCTTCAGCCTTCCAAATGCCAGAATCATAGGTGTGCACCACAATGTCTGGGCCTTTTGAAAGACTTGTTATAGAATTTCCACATCACTTATTTTTTGGATAGAGGGTGGGACTGGGGTTTGAACTCAGGGCTCTTCAGTTGCAAAGCAGGCACTCCACCACTTGAGCCACACCTATAGTACATTTTGCTCTGGTTATTTTGGAGATGGGGGCGTCTCTTGAACTATTTGCCTGGGCTGGCTTCAAACTGCGATCCTTCCAATCTCAGCCTCCCAAGTAGCTAGGATTACAGGTGTGAACTACAGGGGTCCAAGCACACTGCTTATTTCTAATCACAATCTTGAAGTAAACAGGTAGTGTATAATCATTCCTACTTTACAGATGGAGAAGTTAAGAGAAATAAAAATGGACACACAAACAGAATTTCTGCACAAATTTAAGTATATGAGAATTTATGATAAATTTTTTATCCTAAAACAGCTTACTTTGGCCAATGTGACATTACCCAAGGTCCCTATATGCCAGAGGAAACTAAAGCCACTTCCTATGGAAGCACAACAATCGAACAAGACCAGTTAGGCAAATGTAAAAGGTGGGCAAGATTGGCCAAGTGTATGAAGAGAGTAAAAAGAAAATACAAGAAAGGAAATACTGTACTAACAGGGTCAAGTAGCAAGGGCACTAAGAAACCTCAGGTTATTTCAGGGAGACTGCTATACTAAGTCCCAGAAGACAGAAGGCTACAACCAGTAGACAGTGGACTATCATCACACTGAGGGGCACCTTGCCTCAGGACTGCGATCTTTCAATGAGACCAAGAAAGTACCTCATTTGGAAAGCATCCCTGGCTTCATCAGGCTAAGAGCACAGAAGGCCTCTGCTGTGCTGGCATAGTGCTTACAGAGCAAGTGAGCCTTACTGGGCCTAGCTAAGAAAAAGGGAGAGGAAGGAACGGCATGTGTTATGGTTAAGAATTTTCTAGGGGTTCATGTTTATTAGCATGTGACCCAGAGTCCTGGGGCACAGCTCTTCTATGGGTAGAAAAACCAGCATCTTACTCTTTCCTCAATTTAGTTCCTGAGACTCTACCAACCCAAGCCCTCCCACTTCCACCAGTAGTCCAAAGAAGGTGAAATGGCCCAGGGACACAATGTGTTGTTCTAAAAAAATGAAAACAATGCGCTGTTCTCCCAAGTCTGCTGCCTCTTAAGAGTTGGAGGGCAGGGATTATTTGAAGTTCTGCTTGTTTAGTTCCACAGAAAAAAAAATTAGCAGAGGTAGAAAAGTGAAGAGCGAAGACACTGGCAGTCCTGTATCTTGTTAAGTCTTTATAGCTGTGTCTCTGGATTTGTAGGCCACTCCTCGACTTTTGAGCTCCCGCACGATTCCTATGGCAGGAAAAGAAACAGTTCCAATGAGGGAAGATTCAGAAAGATAAGAAAGGCCCTCATCTTCCACTTTGAAAGCCGGGGAGGTGGCTGTCAGAAAACTGGAGTTCTTAGACTATTCATCAAGAATCCTGTCTGGCAGGTCCCGCTGGGGAGTGTGTAGTGGGAGTGGGGGAGGGCAAATGGAGAGGGTGAAGAAGGGGGAATGGTACATGTACTTTATATACTTGAATGAAAATAGAATAGAAAAACTTGTTGAGATCATTTTAAGTAGGCAAGAAGGGGGTAAGGGAGACTGTGGAGAGGATAAATCTAACCAAGGTATATTGTAAACACATATGGAAATGTGACAATGACAATGATGCCTCCCTGCACAACTAATATATGCGAATAAAATGTTAAAAAATAAATTTTATAAAAAAAAGGAGTCCTGTTTAGTTGACTTATTACCACTAAAGAGCCAAGCAAGCACCTGGCACTGACCAGTTAAGAATGAGAAGAAAAAGTGGGACTCAGGCATTCATCAAAAACAAGGAGTCAGAATGCCTGGCTGACATCAGGCCAAGTTATTTAACCTCTCTGTACCTCAGTTCCCTCATCTGTAAAATGCAGAACCTTATTAAGAGTTCTCATCACTTCATTTGGGTATAGGGACCAGGATAAGGCTTGTTTCCTCCAATCCCATCTTTCCCACCCTGAAGCCACATACGCTACTAATTTAAGACTCTTTCATCGGGGCATAATACCAACACTGCATAGGCCAGGATAAGGAGAAAGGGAGACACTTACTGACTCGCTGCCATTTGGAGACCCAGCTATCCTCTGGACTCATCATTGCAATGATTCTAGGGAGGAAAAAAACAGAGGGTTAGCTCGAGCCTCCTTGCTAGAAATAAGGGAGTATGAGAGAGCTGCTCAGCAAGCGCAACAGTTCTGGAAGAGAAATCCTGGAAGAAAACTAGGTCATGAGTCTCCACTGGAAAGCAGGGAAACAGTTCTAATGCTGGCCCCACCAGTAAGAAGTCAATTACCATCCCCCCAAAACTATTTCACCAGCTCAAAATCATCCTTAGTTTATAGACTCCCTAGGAGATAGAACAGCTTTAGCAATACAAGGCCAGTATTGCTGATTATAACCAACACAACCACTAGGGGCTTAGGACTTAGTGCAAAGTGTAAAGTGAGTCAAAATGATGGATCCTCCAACCAGAAATAAGTTAGGCTGGCCAAGTCCTTCCTCTAATGAGCTGGGTAGCCTGAAGTATATATGGAATTCTCTCACAGTATTTCATCAGTAAGGTGAGACTCAAAGGTTGAAATGATACATGAAAAGCATCTAGTACAGAGATTAGCATGGAGTAGATGCTAAATAAGCATTAGCTCTCATTATCTTAATAGTCCTACTCAAGCAGGTCTGATTCCATAGCACACGTAACAGAAAGGCTATTCAAGGATATAAGCCCACTATTTGAACAAGAGAGATCAGCATCAGGGGCTATCAGACGCTAGAGGTCATTTTTGTTATTCATTCGTGTCAAGTCTGTTCTCCTGGCAGCAATCTTGGTTTATTATTTTTTGGTGAAACTGGGGTTTGAACTGAGAGCCTCCTGGTTGCCAGGCAGGTGCTCTACCAATTGATCCACACCCCCAACCCTTTTTGCTATAGGTATTTTTTTGAATAGGGTCCCACATTTATGCCTAGGCTGGCCAGAACTGTGGTTCTCCTATTTATGCTTCCTGAGGAGCTGGTATGACAGGCGCATGCATACAGCTTTGATAAGACAGAGATGGAGTCTTGTGAAATTTTTGCCTGGGCTGGTCTGGAACCACAATCCTCTCAAGTACATAGGATTATAGGTGTTAAGCCACTGAGCCCAGCAATAATCTTGGATTTTTATTTGGGGAAAGACTCCCTTCCCATCCAAATCCTACATTTTCATCATGTGCTCTGAGTGGAACTGACTTCACTTCTAGAAGTGACAAGTAAGACAATAGCTACCTTGGCCCTACAGACTGATCTGGGATAGGCATATATAAAGATTCCATGTATATTCTACTGTCCTTCATAATCTATCCTTTTAGCCTATGGTTCCTATTACCCAACAGGCTTAACCTAAACAGATTTGCCACTGTTCTCCACACATACCATCATTTCCCCGCCCCCCCCAATACCTTTACTTCAGTCATTCCCTTTATTTGTAATGTTCTTTCTATCTCACCTCAACTTTCTCAAAAATCCTACTGTTCTTTAAGAGGAAAGAATGTTACCTCTTCTACTTCTGGCTGAGGCCATTTAGCCTTCCTCTGGTCTGTTAGCCTTTGATTTGCCTACTGTTTATAACCTAATATACACTAAAATATATTAATTCCTACAAATCAACAATCACAACAAGATCCAAAAATGGGCAAAAGATGCGAATAAACAGTAAGTACACAAGATATGTGACATCAGGCTTGTAATGTAGCTCAGTGGTTCAATCCAGAGCTCTGCAAAAATATTAACATTTTAAAAAAAGTTTTAAAATTTTTTTTAAAAAGATGCTCAACATCAATAAGCATTAGGAAATGAAAATCAAAACCACAAGAAGATACAATTCACACCCAATTATAAAAACAAAAACAACACACAACAAAAAAGCAGAAAGTAGCTGCGTGCTGGTGACTCACACCTGAGATCCTAGCTGCTCAGGAGGCAGAGATCAGGAAGAACACGGTTTGAAACCAGCCTGGACAAACAGTTCGCAAGACCCTAAAACAGGGCTGGCGGAATGGTTCAAGTGGTAGAGCACTTGCTTAGTAAGCATGAGACTGTGAGTTCAAACCCCAGTATTGCCTGCCCCCCACTCCTCAAAGAGGGAAAAAAAAAAGGTAAGAAGAGTTGCTAAGGATGGGGAGAAATTGGAATTTTAGACACTGTTTTTTGATTCCTCAAAAAAATTAAATAATGAGGTGGACACCAGTGGCTAACACTTGCAATCCTAGCTACTTGGAAAGCTGAGATTGGAAGGAGGGTCATGGTGTGAGGTCACCCCAGGAAAATAGTTCGCAAGACTCCAATCTCCAAAATAACCAGAGCTAAAGTGTAGCTTAGTTTACTCTTACTCTTAGTGTAAGAGTGCCTGCTTTGTAAGAATGAAGCCCTGAGTTCAAACCCCAGTTCCACAAAAAATAAATAAATAAAAATTGAACGATGAATTACCTTATGATCTAACAATTCTACTTCTGAGTATGTATAATCCAAGAATTGAAAGAGGAACTTAAGCAGATAGTTGTACATCAGTGTTCATGGCAGCATTATTCACAATAGCCAAAAAATAGAAGCAAACTACATGACTATTAACAGAGGAATGGATAAACAAAACATATTTTATATATATATATATATATATATATATATATATATAAGCAATGGAATACTATTCAGTTTTAAAAAAGAAGGAAATTTTGACACATGCTACAACATGGATGAACCTTAAAGATGTTAGGCTAAGCCAGGTGCCAGAGGCTCACACCTGTACTCCTAGCTACTCATGAGGCAGAGATCAGTAGGATCATGGTTCGAAGCCAGCCCAGGCAAATAGTTTGTGAGACACTATTTTGAAAACCCTATCACAAAAAAGGGCTGGTAGAATAGTTCAAGGTGTAGGCCCTGAGTTCAGATCCCAGTACCACACACACAAAAAAAGATGTTATGCTAAGTGTTCAATAAACCAATCACAAAAGGACAAACATTGTATGATTCCAGTTATATGAAATACCTAGGGTAGTCTAATTCATAGAGACAAAAAAAAAAAAAAAAAAAAAGGTGGTTGCTGGGGGAGAGGGGAATGGGAAATTAATATTTAATGAGGACAATGAAAAACATTCTGCTGTACAACAATGTGAATGCATTAATGCCCAATTTTAATTGGGGCCAGAGGTGTGTCTCAAGCAGTAGAGTGCTTGCCTAGTAAGCGGTAGGGCCTTAGTTCAAACCTCAGTATTGCACAAAAAAAAAAAGATAAAACTGCCCAGAAGCGGTGGTACAGGCCTGTAATCCCACCACTCAGAACTCAGAAGCAAGAGGATTTTGAGTTTGAGGTCAGCTGGTCAACATAATGTGACCCTGTCTCAAAAAAGACACTCCCACCCCCTCACACACACACACACACAACACACAACCTTAGTTCAAACCGCAGTATTGCACAAAAAAAAAAGATAAAACTGCCCAGAAGCGGTGTACAGGCCTGTAATCCCACCACTCAGAACTCAGAAGCAAAGGATTTTGGTTTGAGGTCAGCTGTCAACATAAATGTGACCCTGTCTCAAAAAAGACACTCCCACCCCCTCACACACACACACACACACACACACACAAAGGTTAAACTGATAAAATGTTACATTCTGTCTCTCTTATTAGTATCTCATTGTGTAACTAACTGGACACCTCTCAAAACAGCTAGCTTTACTTGGGAGTCTCTTCCTTTTTTTGAGTCTCCCTACTTAGCACAAGCTTGCCTCGAACTTGCAATTCTCCTGTTTGGGCCTCCCAATTGCCAGAAGTGATAGGATTACAGGTGTGTACTACCAAGCCCAGCTCCTTCATTCTGGTATAGTGCTAACAAAGAAACAAAAGGACCAGAATATCTGAGTATGCATATGCACACACAGAAAATAAAGGTTCCCTTCTCCAAAACAGATCATATCCTAGGGCACAAAGCAAGCCTCGGCAAATATAAGAAAATAGAAAAATTACCGTGCATACTTCTGACCACAATGCGTAAAAAGTAGAACTCAACATAAAAGAAAGACAAACATGCAAACAGCTGGAAACTAAATAACTCATACTTAATGAAGAATGGATCATCGATGAAATAAAAGAGGAAATTAAAAAGTCCTGGAAGTCAATGAAAATGAAACCACAGCCTACCGGAACCTATGGACACAGCTAAGGCAGTCTTGAGAGGAAAGTTATAGCCATGAGTGTATATTTAAAAAGATTGAAAGATCCCAAATCAATGACTAATGATACATCTCAAACTCCTAGAAAAACAAGAACAAGCAAATCCCAAAACAAATAAGGAGAGAAATAATAAAAATAAGAGCTGAAATCAACAAATAGAAACCAAAAAAAACCATACAAAGAATTAATGAAACAAAAAGTTGGTTCTCTTTGAAAAAAAATAAACAAGATCGACAGACCCCTGGCAAACCTGACTAAAATGAGGAGAGAAAAAACCCAAATTAGTAGAATTAGGAATGCAAAAGGGAGATAACAACAAACACCATGGAAGTCCAGGAAATCATCAGAGACTACTTTGAGAACCTATATCAAATAAATTTGAAAATCTAAAAGAAATGGACAGATTTCTAGATACATATGATCATCCAAAACTGAACCAAGAGGAAATTAATCACCTGAATAGACCTATAACACAAAATGAAATTGAAGCAGCAATCAAGAGTCTCCCAAAAAGAAAAGTCCAGGACCTGATGGATTCTCTGCTGAATTCTATCAGACCTTTAAAGAAGAACTGATACCAACCCTCCTTAAACTGTTCCACGAAATAGAAAGGAAGGAAAACTGCCAACACATTTTATGAAGCCAGTATTACACTTATCCCAAAACCAGCAAAGACACCTCCAAAAAGGAGAACTATAGGCCAATCTCCTTAATGAACATGATGCAAAAATCCTCAACAAAATAATTGGCAAACGAATTCAGCAACACATCAAAAAGATTATTCACCACGACCAAGTAGGCTTCATCCCAGGGATGCAGGGGTGGTTCAACATACAAAAATCAATAAACGTAATAAACCACATTAACAGAAGCAAAGACAAAAACCACTTGATCATCTCAATAGATGCAGAAAAAGCCTTTGATAAGATCCAACATCATTTCGTGATAAAAGCTCTAAGAAAACTAGGAATAGAAGGAAAGTTCCCTCAACATTAATAAAAGCTATATATGACAAACTACAGCCAGCATTATACTTAACGGAGAAAAACTGAAACCATTCCCTCTAAAATCAGGAACCAGACAAGGATGCCCACTATCTCCACTCCTATTCAACATAGTACTGGAATTCCTACCAGAGCAATTAGGCAAGAGGAAGGAATAAAAGGAATACAAATAGGTAAAGAAACTGTCAAAATATCCCTATTTGCAGACGACATGATCCTATACCTTAAAGACCCAAAAAACTCTACTCAGAAGCTTCTAGACATCATCAATAGCTATAGCAAGGTAGCAGGATATAAAATCAACATAGAAAAATCATTAGCATTTCTATACACTAACAATGAGCAAACGGAAAAGAATGTATGAAAACAATTCCATTTACAATAGCTCAAACAAATCAAATACCTAGGTGTAAACCTAACAAAAGATGTGAAAGACCTCTACAAGGAAAACTATACACTTCTGAAGAAAGAATTGAGGAAGACTATAGAAAGTGGAGAGATCTCCCATGCTCATGGATTGGTAGAATCAACATAGTAAAAATGTCGATACTCCCCAAAGTAATCTACATTTTAATGCAATTCCCATCAAAATTCCAATGACATTCATTAAAGAGATTGAAAAATCTACTGTTAAATTTATATGGAAACACAAGAGGCCACGAATAGCCAAGGCAATACTCAGTCAAAAGAAACAATGCAGGAGGTATCACAATACCTGACTTCAAACTATATTACAAAGCAATAACAATAAAAACAGCATGGTACTGGCACAAAAACAGACATGAAGACCAGTGGAACAGAATAGAGGATCCAGATATGAAGCCACACAACTATAAGCAACTTTCTTTGACAAAGGAGCTAAAAATATATGATGGAGAAATAGCAGCCTCTTCAACAAAAACTGCTGGGAAAACTGGTTAGCAGTCTGCAAAAACTGAAACTAGATCCATGTATATCACCCTATACCAAGATTAACTCAAAATGGATCAAGGATCTTAATATCAGACCCAAACTCTTAAGTTGATACAAGAAAGAGTAGGAAATACTCTGGAGTTAGTAGGTATAGGTAAGAACTTTCTCAATGAAACCCAGCAGCACAGCAACTAAGAGATAGCTAGATAAATGGGACTCATAAAACTAAAAAGCTTCTGTTCATCAAAAGAAATGGTCTCTAAACTGAAGAGAACACCCACAGAGTGGGAGAAAATATTTGCCAACTACACATCAGACAAAGGACTGATAACCAGAATATACAGGGAACTTAAAAAACTAAATTCTCCCAAAACTAATGAACCAATAAAGAAATGGGCATGTGAACTAAACAGAACTTTCTCAAAAGAAGAAATTCAAATGGCCAGAAAACACATGAAAAAATGCTCACCATCTCTAGCAATAAAGGAAATGCAAATTAAAACCACGCTAAGATTCCACCTCACCCCTGTTAGAATAGCCATCATCAGCAACACCACCAACAGGTGTTGGCGAGGATGCGGGGGAAAAAGGAACCCTCTTACACTGTTGGTGGGAATGTAGACTAGTACAACCACTCTGGAAAAAAATTTGGAGGCTACTTAAAAAGCTGGACATCGATCTACCATTTGATCCAGCAATACCACTCTTGGGGATATACCCAAAAGACTGTTACTCCAGAGGCACCTGCACATCCATGTTTATTGCGGCACTATTCACAATAGCCAAGTTATGGAAACAGCCAAGATGCCCCAGCACTGACGAATGGATTAAGAAAATGTGGTATCTATACACAATGGAATTTTATGCAGCCATGAAGAAGAACGAAATGTTATCATTCGCTGGTAAATGGATGGAATTGGAGAACATCATTCTGAGTGAGGTTAGCCTGGCCAAAAACCAAAAATCGTATGTTCTCCCTCATATGTGGACATTAGATCAAGGGCAAACACAGCAAGGGGATTGGACTATGAGCACATGATAAAAGCGAGAGCACACAAGGGAGGGTGAGGATAGGTAAGACACCTAAAAAATTAGCTAGCATTTGTTGCCCTTAACGCAGAGAAAGTAAAGCAGATACCTTAAAGCAACTGAGGCCAATAGGAAAAGGGGAACAGGTACTAGAGAAAAGGTCAGATCAAAAAGAATTAACCTAGAAGGTAACACCCACGCACAGGAAATCAATGTGAGTCAATGCCCTGTATAGCTATCCTTATCTCAACCAGCAAAAACCCTTGTTCCTTCCTATTATTGCTTATACTCTCTCTACAACAAAATTAGAAATAAGGGCAAAATAGTTTCTGCTGGGTATTGAGGGGGGGGGAGCGGGAGGGGGCGGAGTGGGTGGTAAGGGAGGGGGGTGGGGGCAGGGGGGAGAAATGAACCAAGCCTTGTATGCACATATGAATAATAAAAGAAAAATGAAAAAAAAATTCATGTATCTGTCACACAGAATATTACCAGCAAGTTCAATATTAGGAGGTGGCTTCTAAAAAGTTTTTCTCTACTTAACAAAAAAATTAAAGCCGGAAATGACAAAATCATGTACTACACACAAAAAAAGTAAATATTCCCTGAATGGAATATTTTACAACAGAAGTTGTTAAATAAGTTCATTCATCATCTACACATTTTAAAAAGTTTATGGATAGATGTCAAACTCCAAGAGACCTGCCACTTCTCATTAGCTAACCAACCTTACATTTGTACAAATTAAAATAATAAAATGCTTCAGTTGCTAAAAAAAAAAAGAAAAAAGAAAATAAAGGTTCCATCCCAACATCTTTTTTGCCCAATCTTTTATTCCTCCTTAAAGGGAACCAGAGAAGGATCGGAATTGGTCCCACCCTGAAAGAACTTCAGCAAATACTGGGTTTAAGCCCATCTTATGTATAAATCCTTAGTTGGCCTAAAGGCCAGAAGAAACTCAGTAGTGCCACCTTAACCCCAAAAGAATATCCTCTGGCTGCTATCTTGAGGAAGGAGAAATAAGACTTGGCCACTCATGCTTCTCTCATTTCACTGGACAATTTTGCCAAAGGAAAATAGGCTTAGCAGGCCTGGTCAAGATTAGCTTTGAAGCAAGAGTTTACTATTACTGTACATTCCCTTCTCATTATCAAAAAGGATCTTCGTGCATTCAACATTTTTGGTGGGGACTTGATGGGAATTGAACCAGGGCTTTGTACATGCTAAGCACATGCTCTACCACTGAACTATACTTCCAGCCCTTCAACATTTATTATGCACATACCACCTTCCAACTCTTGTGCCAGAGAGCAGTATACAAGATAAACACAGTCCTACTATCAGTGAACTGACGGTGTAGTGAAGTTCAGTGGAAATACAATAAAAGCAAAGGAAGAAAGCAAAATGGAAAAAAAAAAAAAGGACAGAAATACAATGAAAGCACATCACTTTAACTTTCTAGTAGCCACATTTTAAACTAGTAAAGACAAAAAGATGAGATTAATATATTTCATTTAACCCATTAAATCCAAGGCATTACAATTTCAACATATTTAATTTTAAAAATTATTTTATATTTTTCCCATGCTGTGTTTGAAATCTGGTGTATACTTCACACTTAAAACACATCCTTGGGGGGAGGGTAAGGGAGGGGGTGGAGGAAGCGGGGAGAAATGACCCAAACATTGTATGCACATATGAATAAAATAAAAATTAAAAAAAAAAAAAAAAAACACCACATCCTTGTTTGAACTAGCCACATTTCAAGTGTTCAGAAGCTACAGGAAACTAGTGGCTACTGGACGGAATGTATAGGACTAGTGTGTCTCAAAATAACTATTGAGATCAACTGAAATTATGGCCTTAAAATAAAAGCTTGTCCCACATTTAGTTTTTGGGGTGCGGTGGGAGTGGGGCAAGGTGATGCAGAAGTGAATGAAGGAATCTGAAGGAGCTTACCCATCAAAGGAAGAGCTGGTGCAGTCATATACCATCTCTCTGTTACCTTTCATTTGTAGGTATGCATCGCAGTTATCACAACCATCATATTCAAACTGGTCTATAGTCTGGGAAGGGAAAAAAGTGAAAGGATAAAGACAGGTGAGCGACAAGGTCAAAAGAAAAAGTAGCTTTCTCAACACTTGACCTGGTCAACCTCTTGGCTCTCTCTGTGGGCTATCTCACCAGGCCCCCCACCTAATGCTCCTAAAGCTCCACTCGTAAGCTCCACCCTGACCCTTCGTTCCTTTCTTGTTCCCAATGCAGTGTAACCTATTGCTTCCTCTAGTCTCCTCAGGGTCAGGCAACCTCTCCGAGTATTCCCTCAGCTGCAGCTTCATACTCTCCTTCGACTGCCAGTGTCTTTCGCCTCAGACATAAGTGCACTGAGCGTCTGCTGAAGAACCAAACCTGTACTAACAGCTGATGATTCAAAGGCATATAAGACCTGTTCGCGTTCATACGACGTTAATAATGGCTTTCTTCGGCTTCCCACTCCCTTTGGCCACCTCCCTGAGTCCAGAAATTTATTTTCTTTCCTGGTTCCCATCCCGTTCTACCCTCTTTTCCCTTCCCCAACGCCCCTACACCCGGGTCACCGACGAACACCTTGACTAGCGAACACAGCAAACAAGCCCGCAGATGCCGCAGGTCCTTCGGCACTGTCTCCAGAGCCATTCTGCTGGATACGAAGGCTAGCAGCCGAAGACGCAGTCACAGCCTCCACACCCGCAGGAAGTAAACAGCTGATTACCCAGAATGCCCACCACTTCTGGTGCCTCAGACTTCCTCTTCCGGTTCAGGAGGGCGTTGGCCCCGCCCCTCCCCCCGCCAGAGGAGATGGTTTCTCCCGCCGGGAGCAGAGGCGGGGCTGCCGGCAGCCACCTGGCCGGCGCGCGACAGCCACCTGTCCTGGCGCGCGGGCATAGCTGAGATGGCCGTTGGGTCCATGGGGGTGGGGCGGGGCGGGGAGGCGCGACTGGCGCCTGCGCGGGAGGCCCCGAGGCCTGGCAGGGCTCAGCCCTGGCCGCCCGGTGCCATTTGAGGTAGCCCGCTGGCTGCAGGCCGCGATGCTCTTGGAAGGATCCCTCGTGAGGGCCTAGATTCTTTTTGTCTGCCCACTTTATTTTTTTTGAGACAGGGTTTTGCATTGTTGCTCAGGCTGGTCTCAAACTCCGTGACCTTCCTGCCTCAGCCTCCCAAATGCTGGGATTACAGGCCGGTACCACCACGCAAGGCTTGTCTGCCCATTTTAAAAACTGGGGCATTGAGTCCTGTGTCCCTCTCGATTGTGTCTGCAGATACCAAAACAAATCCATTGATGGCCCAACCCTGCCTTGTAAATTCTAAACACTTGCTATCCACAGGAATGGGGGCAATGCATATTTAATTATTCTTAAAAAATTTGCGTGTCCTGTCTGGCAATTTACACTTCGTGAAGCTCTTAGCATTTAGATTTAAGAACATCTGTAGATTAGGTGTCTCTCCCGCCCTTCCATTCTACTCTAGCAAGCTGAATGCACTGCTCTCTTTCAGAATGACACCAGCCAGCCAGCACCTCTACCAAACCTTCTGGAGAAATCGTGCAGTGGGAGGAGAACACAGGCCCTTCGTGACCCTTGGGGAATTCTTCATACAGGCAAAGCACCAGCTCTCTTGGGATTGTTAGCAGAGTAGTCATTTGTGTTTATTTGAATTGGAACTTTGGCATATAAAGAGTTTCAGTCCCTGTTGTTTTGTCCTTTCAGCTGGACTCCTAACTGAAACTACACTTCTACCATGCTGTGTTCAGATGGGGTCTATGACTGAGTTTGGATGTTTTCTATCAATGAATAGTAACTTTCCACTTCGGAACATATTTTCACTCTGTGCTATCCTGTGTAAGCTCTGTATTAACTCTGCAATGTCCATTTTATGTATGGAAAAAGTGAGGCAGAATATTTGCCTAAGGTCACAAAGTAAGTCACTGAAGCATCCTTAATTGTAATGAGAAGTGAACAGTACAATACAGATAATGACTGAACCATGAGGAGAATCAAGGCATGCTCTCACCTTTTCTGATCTCACTAAGTCATGCTTTTAAGGGAGAGAAAACCAGTTCTTATTCCCAAGCATTCCACTCTACCCTATCCTTTCATGTATCAAAGACTAGTCTCTGATACCAGAAATTATTTCTGTCAATGAAGATGAAGTTGTTGTCCTTAGTGACAGTCATGACAAAACAAAACCACAAGACCAGACCATATTTATGGATAAATATATTAGTAAATAAATACATTTCTCAACATAGTGCCTGATTCAAGCATCTTTCTGTCTGGTTCAGATATAAATACCTATGTGGGTGCCTAGGTGCTTAGTCTTCCCACTGACTTTGAGGGAAGAGGGTTCCCAAACAGGATCCCGTGCCAAGTCTGCCCCCACATTCACATTCCAGGCAAGGATGATGCCTGAGAGGCTAGCAATGGTCAGGATGCCCTGGGGTAAAGGGCTGAAGGGGGACCCTCAGTTCTTAACCATTTAGTACAAGCTGCCCAGGCCAACTTCCTGTTCCAACTCCTCTATGTGCATGCCTTCTACTGGGTCCCTGGTTTGTATGGCTTATATTGGGGAGCTGAGCCTCTGGGCCCTGCAAACCCAAGGGGGGGGGTGACACTTTGCTGTCCCCCATCCCTGCTCTGAGAAAAACACTATTCAGAGAATTCTGTTGTACTTGCTCAGCTGTAATTTTGACTTTTCCACCTTCATTCCATCCTCCCTCTTCCTGCATAAAAACAGAAATGTTCTCCTTTCTGTCTGCTTTGGGACTTTGAGACAGGAGATCTTCAAGGAAGAGTTATTCCCTCTTCCCCTACTCCCCACCTCAGAGGAGCTAGGGCTGCAGGAGTGTCAAGGAGTTTGGAGATCAGAGGCTTCATCCCAGATTGGTCAAGATCTGTACCTCAAGGATAGAACTCTATACCCTGGCTTCCCAGAGCCTCCTCTCTGGCTTAATATCGTAAGTCTGACAATTTAAGGACAAGGGGAACTATCCTCCTCCATGCAGCATTGTAGGCACTGCCTAAAGAAAATGCAGATAACTCTCTTTTTAGGGGGGTCAGCCCAAAAAAATGATACAGCTGGGGTTGCCTGATGCAGCAGCCTTACCAGGGCAGAGCCAAAGCTACTATGCAGAGCTTACCCAAGGAAGGACATGAGAAGGGTCGTGTACTCAGCCAAACCCATTGGCTGGTATGAACATGAGGCCTAGGCAAGAGACGCCTAGGAGGGCTGGGGGAAAGAGCAGCACCTTTATAACACCTAGCTTCCTGCCCTCAAAAACTTGCTTTCAGGGATCCAAGAAGCTGGATTCAGGAAGGCAAGAAGCTGGTTGCCTGGTTGGACACAGAATTGCAGCACTGCAGCTGTGTTCTGCAGACAAGGTCTGGAGCTGGGAGCAGTAAATAGCATCTCCCACCACCCACCATCACCACTTTTCTTCCAGTGATTCCAGGAAGTATGGCAAAAAGAGGGTGTTTGCTGAGGTCCTTTCTTCTCCCAGGAACAGGACTCTGTGTCAGGTAGGGCTCTGAGTCATCCAGAGCACACTCTTGGTTGGAGCTAGGACTGAATTTCTCACACAGCCTGTTCACACAACTCTTCAAGCTCTTCTTCTGAGCCTGCATGTGAAGAGAGGGGAGAAAAGAGGTCATTGATGGTCAGGGGAAGCTCTTGCTTTTCCCACCTGTGGGGAATATAATGGAGAGGGGACCACAGAGAGGGAGGAACAGGCAATGTGTCTGGAAAGCAGACTATGTTGAAAGCTGAGAGGGGCTCTACTGAGAAATGAGAAAAAAAAATCTAGGGAAACATATACAGCAACCAGTTACCAGTACTTACTCATTCACCCATAAATATTTATTAAGCATTCACTGTGAATTTGGTCTGCTACCATTTGAAAACTAGAAAACTCAAAAGAATAAACAGGAACCAAACAAACCTTGTAGAAGAGAAGGCATGCATGCAAATGACAACTATGACAGTAGGATGGGATTGGGGGTCATAAAAGAAGCATGAGGAAGGGGAGAGACCATGCCTAAGTACAGGAAAAACTTCCTGGAAATGAGGGTATGTGAGTTGGTATTACAGGAATAGGTAAAAGTTCGATTTGTAGAAATAGGGAAGGCAGCATGATATTATGGGCTGCAGGAACTATAAGAAGCATTTACCCAGTTTAGCTAAAGCAGAGGGCAGGGGAGAGGAAAGAAGAGTGGAAAATAAAGTTGGGAGTAAGGATGGGGTAGCTGGTGCTGGAACCTTGAAGGCCAAACCAAGTTGGATTTTTCCTTACTGTTGACAAAACAGAACATTTGAAGATTTCTACACAGGCAGATAACCCTGGTAGTAGCATGAAGGGCCAGAAAACTGCTACCTAACTCTATAGAACACAACACTTGGATGTGCACACCCCCTCTCCCCCCAGATTCATGACCTTGTAAGAGGGAAGGGAAGAGCTAGGAGGTTCTGCATTGACCTTCAGGGTGCACCTAAGACACAGGCAGAAGTCATCATTAAGTATACTTGAAGAGAATGTTGTAAAGCCAAGTTAGCAGAGATGCAGATAACAGAATCTGGCACTTGGTGGATATGATGAGCAAGGAAAAGGAAGGCACCAAAACTAGTTCTGGGTTTGGGAGCAAAGGGAGCTGGTGGTGTGGGGTGCTGGCAGCACTAAAAGTACACATGACAGGGTCCAAAAAGAATCAAACACATAGCTAAAACTCGCATTATTTGGAACTGTCGAAACAGTTCCATACTGTCTGCATGCCTGTCTCCCATGAACCTGGAACTCCTGGATAGAAAGCTCCTTGTCCTCAGAGCCTAGCCTAGAACCTACCTAGCACATAAGAAGCATGTAATCAGAAAGAAAAAAGGAGGGAAGACATGAAGGACACTGAATGAATAAACTCAGGTCCTGCCTGAAGGTTTCCTGGACTATATTTTAGGATCTTGGGGTCCTCTTTTGGGGTGGAAGGATTCCCATAGTGATGGCTGAGACCAAGACTTGTGAGTGCCATACAATAAGAAGAGTGGGAGGTAAAGAGCACTGGAAGGGGAAGATGAGTATGTGGGGAAATAAATACCCAAAGCTTGAGTTAAAGCTGAGAATTTACATTGTCACCATTGTTGTAATACAGAGATATACTGAGTCCCTAAGACAATGTGGTTTATCTTACTAATAAGGATGTTTGAAAGGGTAGCCCCTAGTTGTTCTTTTACAAAACCTAAGGATTCCCCAGAGCAGCTGGGAACCACCTATGATTTCTATAGTTACAGAAAATACCATAAGACTAGGCCTAATCTTACAGTTATTTTTAATTCTTTACTTAATGTCTTTATTTATCCTCTAAGATCATGTTTTTCCCAAGGACCACTTCTTGGCTTTCTTTGTATTTAGAGCTAACGTTGAGCTGAGCATTTGTAGATTTGTACCAATTATCAACATTTGAAGCACTTAGGTTGCTCTGGTGCCCCCAAATCACCCCAGGTGCCCTTCCAATGCCTCAGTCACACTAGGATCTCCCTTGGGACCTCCTTATCTAGCACTAAAGGGGCAGCATCTGGCAGAGCCAGGGTGTTCTAGCCAACATCCTATGCTATGCCAGTTATTCAATATTTTGTATATCATCTTTGTTGTACCCTTCTTAGCTTCTGTCAACCCCTTGTTGGCTGATTTCACCTGTCCTGAAGTATCTAGCTTTAGTCTCTTTCTCCCTATCACACCCACTGAAAACTCACCAGGCTGGGCTGGCAGCACCTGGCAGTGTGAATAAGGGCATGGCCTGCCCTCTGGGGTGTCAGGACTCCATTCAGAATGCCCCTCCCCAGGAAGGGGTGGTCCTAGGGGCCGGCGTGGAGTCAGACACAACCATACTGGCTGTGAACTTGGGTAACAGGAGCCTGGAGCTTCTGATAGCAATCTCCTATCCAAGCCTGGAGGTCTGAAGATCAATGGGTAGGCCTCAAGAGGCCAAGGGTATGCCAGGTTGGTGCTGTAATGAGGGAAAATCTGGCAAGATGGGTGCACAGTCAAGTCCTGGGGCCGAGAGGCAGGCCTGGGTTCTGAGGGACCACCCTGCCGTTTTCTCTGTGGATGTCGGACAGGGAGGCTGGATTTCTGTAAATTGAAAAGATTGCTGGGACTGGGGCTAGGACTGGTGGCTTCAGCTGGACCAGGAGCTGGCTCTGTAAGGGCCCTGGGCCGTTGTGAGTCGAGAAGCTGTCCTGAAGGGGCTGCTGGATTAGGTCCAGTGACTTGCTGATCAGGAAAAAGTGGCTCCAGCTTAGGCTGTGTCCAAGAAACAGAAGAGCTGGACTGGGGGACCCCAGTTTCTGGGCTAGGCTTCCTGCCATGCCACTGGAACCGCTTTTTGTAGTGGTGGTGCCGGTGCCGATGGTAGTGGACATGGCTGGAAACCTGGGTTTCCCCTGTTGGTACCACTGAGTCCAAGGAACGGGGTCGAGAGGTCACACGAGGTTGCATCCCCTTCCCCTGGAGATCCCCCTGTGGGCCACAGTATACCAAAGGGTCAAAGTCACTGCTCAGGGAGCTGCGGAAGGTGGAACTGCTGCCATGGATGCCCTGCAGACTGATGTCTGTGCAGTTGACCACTGAGTCACTGGAAGAGCCATGACAGGGCCCAGAGCTGGAGTCACTGGCTGGCCCATCTGCCAGGTAGCCACTGCGTTCTGTGCAGTAACTTTCTCCAGACCCGCTGCTGTCATGAGGCCTGGCCCGGCGCAGGGGCACTGAGCAAGCTGTGGGGTGCTGAGAGGTACATCGGAGGCGACTCAGTCTCAAGCCCTGTGCATAAGGGTGCTGGGCCACTGCCACGTGCTGCTGCTCGCCTGAACCCTGAAGATGTGCAGCTCTGGAGAGGCGCTGGTTCCGAGGGCCCATGCCTGGCTCCTGGGATGGGAGGAAAGGTCTGGGTCGTGGAGGCCGAGCCACTGAATTCCGGGAAGGTCCCAGTAGGTAGGCAGAAGGGAGGTGGTAGTGGGCATGGCCAGGATGCTGGCGAATAAGGTGGAGTCTCCTGCCTGGTTCCTGGTAAGTTTGAGAGGGTCCCTGGGAGAATGAATCTCCCTCTGGAAAAAAGAATAAAGAATGTAAGTGTTTGACTCCACAACATGGAAAATGCAATCAGAAAGGTGTAACTGTAGCAATCCTATTTCAGCCTTCATAGCCTATGAGTTCAGAGTTTGGGAGGCCAAGAACACCCCTAACTTGCTTGTTGTTGGGACTCACTCCCTTGCCACCTCCAATCAGTCCATCTGCCCTGGGCATTCCACTATATAGTTAATCCCTGCCCCACCCATGAGCCATTTGGTGCTCTTTTACCTAGGGCCATTACTAACCCACATGTACCTTTGGGTACATTAGCAAAAGGTTCTCTTTCCTCAAAATTTTACTTTCATCTTTTAGAAAATTGTCATATATATGCTGATTTCATTAGACCAGAATACTTTATTGCCAGAAAATTATAATAATAAATATAGAAATCACCCATATTTAGACTCAACAAAGTTGTCACAAAAATACAAACAATAAAGACATCTAGGATGCAAATGTCCCTCCGCTGCAGACAATGTGCACTTGAGCAGTGTACAGCTGAAAACACTATGGTGGTAGCTACTTCTCAGCTTCACAGTAGAAACCATTTCCCAGAGGGCAGCCATGATCTAGACCTGTCTGCCTGCACACAGGGGAGTCCCTGGCCCATCTCCTACCTATGATGTTGAACATGCAGAGGGGGACAAGTCCGATGCTGATGTAGCCAGGGATCCACACAAGTACGATGGAACTCATGGAGGCAGGAAATAACCCGCAGCTCCTGAAGAAAGAAAGGGTCAGTAACATCCCCGACTCCTTTTTTTGGTCTTTTGTTCTTGCATTCACCTCCTTGTAACAGGACCTTACAGGAGACTAACAAAGTATGGGCTTTATAGTATCAGATGTATTTGATTTTTGCCATTTAGATATATGACTTTGGGCAAGTTTCTTTTCTTTTTTTTTGGAGGGGTGGTATTGGGGGTTGAACTCAGGGCCTTGTGCTTGTTAGGCAGGTGTTATACCACTTGAGTCATTCCATCAGTGATTTTTTTCATTGGCTTTATGCCCAGGCTGGCCTGGACTGAGATTCTCCTAAATTGTGCTTTCATGAGTAGCTGGGATGACAAGCGTGCACCACTGCATCAAGGCAATGGGTGAGATGGATTCTTTCAAAGTGTTCCCTCTCCCCAGATTGGCCTCATATTGTGATCCTCCTGGTCGATGCCTCTAAAGTAGCTAGGATTACAGGCTTGCAGTATGCTGCCCAGCTGGGCAAGTTTCTTTTCTTTCTTTTTTTTTTTTTTTAAACAGTACTGGGACTTGAACTCAGGGCCTACACCTTGAGCCACTCCATCAGCCCTTTTTTTGTGAAGGGTTTTTTGAGATAGGGTCTCACCAACTATTTGCCCAGACTCTTGATCTCTGCCTCCTGACTAGCTAGGATTGCAGGCATGAGCCACTGGTGCCCAGCTAAGCAAGTTTCTTAACAATTTTCAACTGTAAAATGAGGATAAAAAACTAACCTACTCCTACCCTTCATTGCCACGAGGCTAAAATCAGATAATGCATTTAAAGCAATACTGTGGCCTGGCACACAGTTCCCTCTCAACAATATTGTTCTTTAAGTGGAAAGCCAGGAAACTGACCAAACCTCAGGATGTTCTCCTGCCTCTGTCCCACACAGGACATAGATATAGCCAGGGCATCCATATCAGCCCTAGGCTTGCCCACCCCCACCCTGGCTTCCATCTCCCTCCCTAGCTTGGTCATGGAGGTGAGCCACAAAGCCTGTCTTACCTGCCCTTCAGAGAATTCCTCCAGGCAGATGGCACACACAGGGGCAGAGCTGCAGCTACTGCCTGAGTCAATCTGCTCAGCCCGAGCCCTCCTGCAGCTGGCCCGGTACCTCCTGGTGGCTAGCTGGCTGATAGCCCAGGCTGTTCGCTGCTGAAGAGGGTCCTGGGAAGAGGAATAGAACTCAGAAGGTGCAAGGGATCTTCTTCCTTTTCCCCTGGGCCCCAGCTTAGACTAGTTATCTAGTTGGATCACATGGCTAATTGACCATGCTTGAGGGTTTATACCTTCAGAGTTCATGAATGGCTGTGACCTCGCAACTCTTCCACTCCCTTCCTCATTCCATTAAGCTTTTCTTCCATTGATGATTCATGAGAGAAACTTTTTATCCAATTGCTTTTGATACCTCAACTTGGTATCTAATAGGTATGTGAAATTTAAACATGAACTCATAATTCCTCTAACAACCTCCAACCACATACCAGTCCTCCCCCAATCTTTTCCATCACATAACTGGCAATTCCATTCTTTTAATTGCTCAGGTCAAAACACTTGGTGCCATCCTACTCCTCAATCAATCCATTAGTAAACCTGTTTAGCTTTGCCTTCAAAATATGTCCAGAGTAACTACTTATACTTTCATGGCTGCCTCCCTAATCAAACCACCATTACCATCACCTGGATTCTTGTAATAGTTTCCTAGTTGGTTTCTCTATTTCCAACTTTGCCTCCCTGTGGTCTATTCTCATCACAGTGGCAAGAGTGATTATGTTAAAACTCAAGTAAGATCAGGCACCCCTTCTGATCAAAATCCTCAGTGGTTCCCATTTCACCTAGAGTAAAAAGCAAAGTCCCAACACAGCCTGAATAGTGCAACACAATGGGGTCCCATGAATTCTAACCTAATTTTTAATTCTGCCCTCAAGCTCATTATATTCCAGCCACACAACCTCATGCTGTTCATCAGACAAGCCAGGCATACTTTCGCCTCAAGATCTTTGCACTTACAGTTCTTTCCACCTTCATCGCTTTTTTCCCAGATACCTGCATAGATCACACCCTCAGTCATTTTCAATCTTTGCTGTAATGTCATTTTCTCAACATGAGCTTTCCTGGACTTGTTTTTAAAAATTGGCCTTGACTCCCTTGCATTCCCTCTCCCCTTTGCTATTGTATTTTGCTCTGTAGTAAGTATATACTGCCTTCAAAAATATTATATATTTTGCTTATTTATTGTCTATTTGTTAGACAATAGAACACTAGAATGAAAGCTCCTTGAGGGTAGGGTTTTTATTTTGTTTTGTTTTTGTCAGTTTTGCTCACTATGCTATTCCTAGCATAGTGAAAAAGTGTCTGAAACATGTAATCGTTTCTCAGTGTATTTGTTGAATGAATGAGTGAGCAATGCAGGGAGAAGCTGCCAGGAATCAACACAGACAGCAGCTAGAGTGTTTAGATGTAGACTGCTTCATGGGCATAAAGGCACCTACCTTCCTTATTTTCTCTTTCCTTTGCCTAACCCTTCCATATCCATACCGACACCCACCTCTACCAGAGAACCCACTGCTCACCGGCCTGCTGCGGTGGGGGTGGCACCGGACACGAAGCACTGAAGCCAGGATGACCACAAAAATGGTGCCCACCACCGTCAAGAGGATCCACACATCATAATCTGGCTGAGGATGAGGGTCAGAGAGGAAAAGAGTCACACTTCAGAAAGGAGTCACACTTCAGAAAGGAGCTGGGCCAATTTGGGAGGAAACACAGGAGCAAAGAGAGAACAAGAGTTTCCCTTAAGTCTCCCACCTAAGGGATGAGGTGAGGCTGTACCTGGAAGTAGCACTAGGCAGTTCCTCCCTGCTGAGGGCACTTGTAGGAAAGGGTTCTCCAGATGCAGTTGTGAGAAGTACTATCTGGAAACCCATTCATTTGGGAAAAAAGGGGAAAGGGATTCCTTGGAAAGCTGTGGGCTGCTTGCCAGTGAGCACCAGGTAAGAATCCTAGGAAGTACCCACCAGAGGCTAGTGAGTCAGGGTTGGACAGGCTCTGCTACTTCATGCCATGAAACCACAGAGCTGAAAACAGTTTCAAAATTCATCTCTGCTCATTCTGTAGATAACGCCCAGAGAGGGAGAGAAACCTGCCCAAAGATGCACAGTTAATGGATAAAGTTGGACTAGAGGGTTTCTTTTGGCTCTAGGAGTCTAAGGACTTTTGGTGGGAGTTGTCACAGGACAAACTGGAGGTGAGAGCAGGTACTGGGGCAAGGCTGGAGGCCCAGTGTACTTACCCAGGCTGGGGGCTCTTTTAGCTCAATTCTCACATGAGCCTTCTGGTTCTTGTAAACAAACTCCATCAGCTTCTCCGCATCATTACCCCAGATCAGCACTACTGGCCAAGTCAGCCCCAGGGGCTGCTGTAGCTGCAGAGGAAAAAAGGGCCATGGTGATTTCTCCTTCCCCTAGGAATTCTACCTTCCTCCATCCAGTCACCTCCTGGATGTTCCTGGGTACCTGCTCAGCAGCAGCTCGATCCTCAGTGATGTCAAAGAGGACAGCACTGGCTCCTCGCTCACCCGCCATCCGGGCCTGTAGAGACACAGCAGAGGTTTGGCTAAAGTCAGAGAAGGACACAATCCACCCATGACTAGGCTTCAAACTCTCATACACACATTCCTTTCTAGACACACCTGCACCTCTGCACACATATACATGTGTAAGAGTTAAGACTGGGATCTCTGCCTTGCCCCTGAGCTCACTCAGGACCACTGCCTTTAAAGAACAACATTTAATCTTTTATAACTTTATAACGGAACAAACCCTTACCCAGGCTTTACTAGGTGCCAGGTGGTGGCACAAGTAAGACATAGCCCCTGCCTCAGGGTTCAAGTGATGTGAGAACAAAGGGCAGGGAACAACTAGCACCCCATGGGAGAAGGACACAGAGGAATAGGGAAGAACAGAGAAAAGAACTCCTTCAAACAGAGCTGAGCTGTCCAGGGCCCAGCCCTGCCTAACAAGAGGAGCCTGTGGGATATCCTCCTAGCTTAGGCAAAGTTCCAAGAGCGTGGGGCACTGGTCCCATCCAAGGCCTCTGTGGCAAAGCCCTTACCTCAGCCCACTGCACAGGCACACTCTCCCTAACACTCTTTAGCTCACGATGTTCTTTGGCTCCAATTCAGAGACAGAGGAGTCTTTGTCCAGTGCTTTTTCCTTCATCTTCTCCCTTATGGTGACTTGAGCAAGAATTTGAGGGGCTGTTCCCACAAGAATACAACTGTGCACATGTATACGTAAGTGTTCACCAAAGACTCCAAAAGCAGGTGTGGGGTGGCAGATAGCAGAGCCAGAAAGAGAACAAAAAGTGGGAATCTCAGGGGCTTCTGTGGAGGGTGATGACAGGGAGATAGATCTAAGGGTGGGGTAGAATCACAACAGCAATGACCAACTAGCGGCACAGGCACTGTGAGGGAGCTGCTCCTGGCCTGGTGCCTCCTAGAGCAAAGGTTCATTTGTAATGACATCAGGCTGTGACCTCTCACCCCAGACCCCTGCTGAGTCTCTTCAGGCCAGGAGGCAGTGAAGGAGTTAACCCTTCTGCAAAGTTGTGGTGGCAGGAAGAAGTGCCAGTGCTGGGACTTACTCATACTCTCAGCTCTTTGATCTCTGCTTGCCTTCCCAGGGAGAGCCTGTCAGGGCAGGTCTCCTGCCAGGCAAGCTGGAAGTAGCAAACCTTCTCCCTGCTCCCCACTCCCCAAGCAGTGGCAGAAGCCAGGGGCCCCCTCAGAACCAGATGCCCCCAGGTGGTGGCAGGGGGTTGGGGAGGGAGGTAGTGAGACAACTGTGAGGAACCCAATTTTGGTCAGGAAGATAACTTTCCCTCTCCTGGGAGCTGAGGTAGGTCCTCCATAGGCACTAGCACCCAGGCCCAGTCTAGGCCAGCCTAGGTTAATTAACTCCCACCTTGAGGTCCTAGGGAAATCCACAGGACTCCAGAATGAATCACTGAAAAAACTGACAAGTTACAGCTTCCATCCTTTCCTCACCCACTTTTTCCCAAGAAGTCCACTCCACCTAGGCTTCTCCAGACAGGAAGCAGCTTTTCAATCTTTAGCTCCCTCCCAGAAAGGGCATGGGAGCAGGGAACAGAATCCCTGCTAGGGGAATCCTAGTTCTAACTTCATATTCCAGGGACTTGACAAAGAGTGGGAGAGGTACCCAGGAGTCACAGAATTGGAATTCTTGGGCCTCAGGTTTCCCATCCTCTGAACAAGACCCTGGACCCAGCACGGCCTGGAAGAGCATGAGAGGGCAAAAGACTCACTTCTTTGGAGATTTACTTACTTCCCCACCCCTCTGTCTTTGAAGAATTGAGGTAAGAATAGCAGAAAGCAATTATTATAACATTCAAACACCCTAGCGCATTACAGCCCATAATTATAAAGTTGTAAAAATGATCAAAGACTCCAGAGACTTGGCCAACAGCAGAAAACAAACAAGACTTTCAGGCAGTGGGTCCCTGTATCCAGAGTTCTAGGAATAAAAAGCAAGATTTGGGGGATAGATGGGCTCTCTGTGACTTCTGATCATGGTCACCCAAGAGAGTAGAAAGAAACAGAAAGAGAAAAAAACAAAAGGGCTTCTTTGGGGACTGGAATCTAGAAAACAGAGAGAGGATGCACAGGCAAGACTGGGCTTCAGAGAGACAACCCAGAGATCTCTTATCAGAATGGGCCAGCTCTTGGGGCAGCAAGCAAGGCTGCACTTAGTACCAGGAGCCATTAGAGAGTGCAGTAGAGTGAGCTGAAATCCTGCCTCTTGCTCCATCTGTCAGATTTTGCAATTCCTTGGGCCTTAGATTTTCCTCTTCAGGCCACAGTGACAATCTCTGTATATCCTTTGCTCATTCAAGATGAGTGAGTACCTACTGTACCCAAGGCACCAAGCCACAGAAGGCCAGACCCTCCAGAGCAGGTAGGAATCTAGTTGTAGAGATATGACATATATGTACATAAAATTATAATGCTGATAACAATATTCGAGAACACAAATGAAGGAAATACACCCGTAAACAATATTTTTTCACTTCAAAATGCTTTTCTCTTCACCATCCCCTCCCCCTCCCAATCTGACACAAATATTCAATATATAAAATGGATATATGTGAGAAAGCTCATATTGAGGTGGGGATGGAGGTGGGAAGGACCCTTGCGAACCCCCACACACACCCTGACACCCCCATGAAATCAAGACTTAGCAGAACATTGTGTTGGAAGCATAAGCAAAGACCCTACCTGCTAGAGATGTGCTAGAGGAAGGGATTTCTGCCCCTACTGGGTTTGCTGGGCTGGGCCAGGCAAGAAAGATTCAACAGGAGAGGTGGAATTCCTCTGGGTTTGAGAGCAAGGTTAGAAAGAAGGAGAAAGGATGTAACTGTTATTGAGATCCACCCTTCCTAGACTGCCTACGCTTGAATTCTGGCCCATTACCAACAATGAGCTGTGAGACTTTGGGCAAGATACGTAACCACTCTGTGCTTCAGTTTTCCTTTCTGTAAAGTGGGATAATAATAGAACCTACTGTTGTGAGAATTTCACAAACTAGTCCATGTAAAGCACTTACCATAGTGCCTGTCACATAGTGCTAATTATATCACATGATTTCCACGTGAGTTCATTTATTCCTTAATGCTCCATAAGACAGTCATTAGCCCCAATTTTGAGTTGAGAAAACTGAGACTTTTTTTTTTGGTGGTACTAGGATTTGAACTCAGGGCTTCACACTTGCGAGGCGGGCCCTCTACCACTTGAGCCACTCCACCAGCCCAAAACTGGTCTTCTTAAGAGACAGAATAACTTGCCCAGGGTCACCAACTGATAAGGAGGAGGCAGGACTCCATCCAGTACTTTAGCCTTTAAAATGGCTACTTTTGGGCTGATGGGATGTCTCAAGTGATAGAGCACCTGCCTAGCAAGAGTGAGGCCCTGAGTTCAAACCCTAGTACTGCCAAAGAAGAAATAATAATAAAACAAATGCCTGCTTTTAATTATTGGGTAGTGGGCACCTCTGTAAAAGAGGCAGGACTTGTACCCACCTGCTTCTTTCCAAATCTAACTCCTGGTGAAAAATACCACTGCATTATTCCAGGCATGAAGTGGTAAGGGCCTGGCTTATCACTAGGATGAACTGGAGCTGCTAATGAAGAAACAAAAACTAATTTGGGTGACTAGGCAGGAGTGGTGATAAGAAAAGTCCAGAATTATGGCAAGGGTTTTGTGGACAAAAGAGATAACAAATAGAAGAAAATAAAAACCAAACATGTGAACTATAAAATCATGGGGTGGAGGATGGGGAACATGTGTGAGGCCCTGGCCCTGGGTTCAATCCCCAGCACCAAAAAAAAAAAAAAAAAAAGAATGTGATGATGATTTCTGTGATGATGAGATGAAGACAGGATGATAATTGCAGTAATTTATTTAGTGATAACTATGTGCTTGGTAAGAGCTTCTACTGCCTCATTTAAGTCCCCATGACTATTTATGTGTAAGTCCCATTATTATTCCCCTTTTATAGATGAGGAAACTGAGGCCCAGAGAGGTGAGCTAAAGTGTCTAGGACTCCATGAGGGCAGTGGAAGAGCCAGGTTTCAAACCTTCTAGAGTCCCACCTTTGTCAATAGTGGTGGCACCATTGATACAAAAACCAGAATAGAATTGATTTGGGTCAGTGATTTTGAAATTGCTCCTCACCAAAGACCTCACCTGTCCCTTATACTTCTCATAAGCCACACCTTTAAAAATGTACATTCTACTAAACCAATTACATTTATTATATGAAGCTAATTTTCTGATGAGATAACTTATATCAACTATTTGAACTGAGAGAATTTCAAATATTCAAAAATGAGTATTTCAGGACTGGAGATGTGGTTCAAGTGGTAGAGCACCTGCCTAGCAAGCACAAAGCCCTGAATTCAAATCTCACTACCTCAAAAAAATGAATGAATGAATAAATAAATAAATAAATAAATAAATAAATAACACAGTCAAGCCTGTGGGACTTCTGAAATATTAAAGTAGCTTAAAGACCTTTCAAACCTCTTTTGAGCCAGGGACTCCCAGACAGAAGCCATTGGCTGGTGTTTTGATCATACCCGAGCAGGAAGCCTTGGACCTAACCAGTTGGAAGCCATTGGTGAGTTTAGGGATCAAAAGCAATTCTTAGAGTGAGGGGGAAAAAAGTCAGGTGTAATGGTTAATCTTGATTGTCAACTTGATTGGATTGAGAAGCATCTAGATTAGTGAAGCATGCTTCTGGGTGTGTCTCTGAGGGTGAAGACATGCTCTGAATATGCGCAGCACCATCCCATAAGCTAGGGGACCAGATGGAATAAAAGGAGTAAAAGGAGAAAGACTGCCAGTACAGGCATTCATTCTCTGTGCTTCCTGCCAGCTATTATGTTAGCTTCTCTACTCTGCCGGGCCCTCTCACCATGATATACTGCTTCACCAAAGTCCCGGAAACATGAAACCAGTCTACCATAGGCTGAAACCTCTAGAACTGTTAACAAAAATCAATCTTTCTTCCCTTAAGTTGTTTTCTCAGGTATTTTGTCACAGCAATGAAAAGTATGATAGACACACTAGGCAAGGTAGGAGTGCAGGGAGGAAATAAGGGGTGTGATCACAAGGCAATAGCCAAAGTATTCCTTTTACATCCCAGCAATTTTTTATTTTTGTGTTTGTTTTAGCTCAGGCATTATTTGGCACTTGACATACATTATTTTCCACCTTACAATAATCACGGGGTTGAGAAATCAAAATCCCCTTTTATGGTGATACAAACAGAAGCCCAACAAGCACCTCAAAGGACACTGACCACATGTTCCTTCCTTCACAGTGTTTGTATTCCTGTCCCAACTCTCCTACAGGACAGTGGTCCTCCAGAAGGTGAGAAGAAAGTATCCTATGTGGTCACACCCTTTCAGTTTGCCAACTGTCCACATGCTGCAAAATCATATACTGTGTTAAAAGAACAGTAGGAACTTGGAAGTGGCAGAATTTTAGGTATCTCTAAGAACTTAGTTATACTTTCCTATAAAATTTCCAGAATAAATATATATTGCTTTTATAAATAGTTAAAGAGAAGAAGAAATAGAACTTCTCTGAACCCTTCTCCTTGGCCCCATCACACACACAATCTCTACTCACACGCACATATATTCTACCTAACACAGAGCAGGCACTGAGCCTATGCTTACCAAATAAACAAATGAATGACATCTTCCCATATTTTATAAAGCAGGGAGAATTAAATAGCCAGAAACAAGGCAGCTTCAACCTAACAAAATTTTGCCCAAGAACACTCATAGCCTTCCAGAGATGCCACATTCTCCAGCTCCTCTGCATGCACCTCATCCCTGGTATCCACTGAGACCTCCTTCTGCATCAGCATGGCCAGGCAAGGAGAATATTGTCACTTATCTATGGGCACCACATTCATTTTGAGGCTTATTGTTTTGTTTTGGCACTGGGGATTGAACCCAGGACCTTGTGCGTTCTATGTTAAGTGCTCTATTATTACTGACTGAGCCACACCCCAGCCCAACTACAATCTAATGTTCGTTTTTCCAGCTAGAATGGGAGGCAGAACAGAGAAATTAAAAACCTAGGTTTGGGAACAAGACAGGGTTGGGTTCGGTTTATGCCTTCTGAGTTGTATCATTGTATTTAATTTTTCTGATCCTCACTTACCTCCTATACCTAGTGAAGAGTAATAATGTCTGCTTTTCTGGATTATTGTGGAAAACAAATGAGATAATACATACAAAGACTCTGTCTACATTCCCCTGGGGCAATGATAACCACACAGAAAATAGTGACTGTTATTACTAATTAAAGTGGGAGGTCACAAACACAAATATTTATGGGGCCTTTGTGGTGGCAGGACAGAGTGGAGCATGGCAAATAAAAGAGTCCACAGTTGTGGAAAGGGAACAGCTCCTGCCTAGTTCCTGCTAATTGTGGCCAAAATGGGGGTGCAAATGCTGATGGAGCTTCTAAGTTTTTTCCAGGAAAGCTGAAAACCTGGATTCTTATCCAAACATTTTCAATTTTGTCTTTCTCTTTTGTTTTTTGAGATGAGGTCTCACTACATAGCCCAGGCTGGCCTTGAACTTGACATCCTCCTGCCTCAGCCTCCAGAGGGCACGAACCATCACACCTAGCTAACATTTTCAATTTTTAAATATGGCAATTAATTTACAGTTTGGAAAGTCATTGCATGGGCTAAATACAACCCTTGTGCAAGCCAAAGCTAACTTGTAGCCCAGCAGTTTACAACTTCAAAGGAAACATGCAAATTTTTAAAGGGTTGACATGATAGCTTCTGTTTTGCTGTTTTTGTGAAAGTGTTCAGTAAATGTTTCTGAGGAATCCCTATTTGTTCTGATACTGGATAGAGGAAGGGGCTTAGGATAGGGCTTATGATGGAATGAAAACCAGAAAGTTCTGTTGGTGCTGGTTGATGGAGAAAGGGCACTTTCATAAATTTCCACCTCTCTCTGACTAATCATGTGTTAGGAAAACCTGAGGAAATTGGGCATATCACTCTTCAGAGACAAAAGGGACAAGAGAGAACAGGTAGAATGTCTGCCTAGGAAAGCGTGAGACCCTGAGTTCAAACCCTAGTACTGCCCCCCGCCCCCCCCCACCCGCCAGAAAAAAAAAAAAACCCTCACAGGGTATGTGGGTATGTGTAGGATCAAGTGTGAATTTACCTTGCTGGCTAGTGACAGGCAGGGGCGAGGGGCCCGTCGGGGACTCTCCAGCTTGACAATGCTGATGAATCCAGGCTCCAGATTGTCGTCATCACTGGCATTGCACAGGTACAGGGGATGGGACTGCAGAGAGAGAGGGAGGGAGAGAGACAGACAAAGACCTAGGTTAGGGGGCTGGGGATGTAGCTCAGTGATAGAGTGCTTGCCTAGGATGTGCAAGGCCCTGAGTTCAATCCCTAGTGCTGCAAAAACAAAAACAAAAACAAAAAAAAACCTGGGTTAGGGAGGTTCCAGGGAACAGGAGTGAGCTGTGAAAAACAAGCACTTCTATACTTTTCTAGGCCAGTTCCAGGTAAGTTTCTTGGTGCTATGAAAGAGTGGACCTTATTACTTACTGCTTCGTAGTAAGGTAGTAACTATTAGTTGTCCCTTCAAAAGTGCTGGGACCAAGGATAAATGGATGTGGGGACAGATGGGAGAGAGGAGTATCCCAGAAGGTGCTTAAATGAAGAGCCTGCTGCAATGCAGTTCCCATAACCCTCAAGCCGACTTTTCCATATTGGTCAGATGCAGATGATTCTTCTCCTGGCCCCAGCCTCTCTCAATTTCTGATCCTTCTGACCTGCTCCAAAAATGGTTAAGAGAATATTGATGTGCTCCTCTTATCAGTGCCTTCCCTCCTTGTTCCCCAATGGCAGTGCTGGGTGTTGCCTTGGAGATTCCCACCGCTCTCATGGCCTGAGTCTTTTAACTAGATGCTCCTTTGCTCTCTCACTGTCCCCCTTTGCCTGTGCCCTTTGCTCACCAGGAGTCAAGCAAGGTGCTGACAGGAAGAAAAGCCTAGCTTGGGATGAGGCTTGGCTAAGTCTTAAGCGTTGACCAGTCCAATTCCTATCCACAGGAGATGGCCCCAGCTCAGCCCATCTGCTCTGGGAATCCAGAAGGTCTAGTTCAAGACACTGTGCCTCTGAGCCCAGTTAGTGCTGAGGGGAAGTGGGCCAAGATGTGCTTCCAAAAATCTCAGGCTTCCTCAAAGGGAACAGACTACCTTACTACAACTCTCGTCTCATTAAAGATGATTCTAATACTCATTTTCTAATTTTCCCTGAATAAAATATCAGTGTTAAGAGAATAAAAGAGAATTTATTCAGCCCTGGATAATCCTTTGGGCCAGGGACTCCCATATGGTAGAAACCTAATGTATCCTGGCAAGAAAGGAATTTCCTACTAGGGAGCTTCCCACATTTCCTTCTCCACTGATGCTGACAGTATGAAGGTCTTCCAGAAAGAGCCATCGGAGGAATGACAGAGAATGTAAAATTTATGATGATAATGTCCATGATGGATTTAAAAACATAGTCATTTTCTGAAAGCACTTTCAGTGCATTACCTCTTCTTATTGTATTACTGCAGTGCTTTGGACATAGTAAGTTCTCAATAAACATGTACTACTTTGCTTTGAATTGTATCCTTCTGAATAAAAGTCTCTGGGCAGAGGGTGTTGAAATAGGAAAGAGTTTCATTCTTTCTTGCAGAGTTTCAGTACTACTAGTCTGTAGTGATCGAAGGTTAACATGCAAGAAAGATCATGTACCTCTGTCCTCAGCAATGGGGCTGGCATGAGGTAGGGGCAGTTCTCACTTCAGTGCAGCTATAAGCCCCTGACTCAATGAGCTTCATTAATCTGTCTACCTGTCCATCCACCAAACCCTACATCCATTCATTTCTTAATTCTATCTACCCTGAAGGCTCGTACAGCACTAGACGCTATACAATGCACTGAGGTGGCAATGAGTAAGATGATCTCTTTGCCTTAAAGCAGCTCAGAAGACAAGCGGGTAAACACACTGAACTGTGATGTTAGTTTTTTCAAGAGTGTATAGGGTGCACTCTTAAGGGAACTAATAATCTCATATGGGAGGGTAAAGAATTTATCAGTAGAGATCATTTGAGAGCTTCCTTGGAGGTTGAATAGACAGATGTTCACTTATAGTGGACCAATAAAAAGTATATTCTCAGGAGAAATGACCCAAACGTTGTATGCACATATGAATAAAATAAAACTAAAATTAAAAAAAAAGTGTATTCCCAACAGAGGAAGCCACCTGTACTGATGGGCCAGGTTGAGATGGACTGCAGTAATATAGGGCTGAGGGCTGGTGGAATGGCTCAAATGGTAAGAGCACCTGATTAGCAAGTATGAGGCCCTGAGTCCAAACCCAAGTACCACCAGAAAAAAAAAATTTTCAAAAGGAAGATAGGGCTGGTATGAAAGGAAAAGCAGGAGATGAACCTGGAAAGTCCAGCAAGAGTCAGGCCAGGGAACAGGAACCACACGATTCCCTGGTGAATGCAGAGGAAAGTGGGTATGGTGGGGAGTGAGAAGTCAGCTACTCCAATAGAATGACATGAGACCTCTAGGAAGGACAAATTACAGCCATAGAAGTCCACTGTTCTGCTTGCTCCTCATGATGCCCCCAAGATGCCTCTCATTGACGGGAGGGAGAAGGTCACTTTAAAGAAGAGCAGTCTATATAGAAGGATTTGCATATATTTACCTACCAATCTACCCCCAGGCAGATTGAATGCTAGTTCTTTATGGGGAACTAGCATTCACAGAGCAGTAGTGTGTTGTAGGATGTCTCTGACAAGGTGGAAGGGGAAACCAGGTGTCAGAGTCACCATACTGGCTTGTTCTGAACAAACAAGTGAGAGCGGGAGGAGATTACCATTAGTAAATGCCTCTTCCATGCCAGGGGTTTAGGTGTTATCTCACTATGAGGTAGGTGTTACCATCCCCATATAGAGAAGACCTTGAGGCTCACAGAAATGAAGGTCACATAATTTTAGAACTTAGCTCCCAACTTTATTCTCTGGAGTCATGGAACTCCACATGAATGCAGAGTCAAACTCCATTGTCCATGCTAATAATAACAAGGATGAGGATAACAGTCTACATTTATTGAGCAATACTGTGGGCCAGTGTTTGCTCTAAGCACTTCTGTGTAGTAACTCTTTTCATCCTCATAACATGTAAGATGAAAACTATTATTTCCCCATTTACAGGATAAGGAACTGAGGCATTAAAAGGTTAAATAACGTGCTCAAGCTTACACCACTAGTAAATGGCAGAGACCAGAAGAAATTAAGGAAGTAGAACAAGGTTTTGAAAAAAAAAGAAAGTTCAAGAGCAGGGGTTGGTGGCACACACCTATAATTCCAGCACTTAGGAGGCTGAGGCTGAGTTCAGAGCCAGCCTGGGCTATATGGTCAGACCCTGTCACAAACAAAAGCAAAAACAAAAAACCCAAAACCAAAACAACAAAAAACAGTTAACATTTGATTCTGAAAACATGATACCTTCCAACTCATAACTAATGAAATTTGCTTTACTAATTTTATGTTTTTAAAGAAAAATGCCCAAATCTAAGTCCCTAGAACATAATTGGTGACTGTCTCCAGGATTTTGTCCTATGTCCTTTTTTTGCTCTTCATGAGTTCTCTGAATGATCCCGCCAATCCCATAGCCTTGGTTCTCCACACAGAAGGCTAGATCACAGCCTAGTCCTACATGTCCAACTGCCCCTGGACCTTTCTACTTGAAGAATCTTTTTTGGCAGTGCTGAGGATTGAACTCAGGGCCTCGCACATATCAGATAAGCATGCTCTACCATAGCTCTACATCCCCAGCCCCCCCTCTACATGAAGAATCTTAAGTGAGATACCTCAAACTCAGCCTGTTAAAAAAAAATGAACAAATTATTCTTCCCCTCCCCCCAAACTACTACTCCAGTGTTCTCTATCTTAGGGATCAGAACTGTTACCCAAGCCAGATGTTAACCTCTTAGTCTCCTCCATCTCCTTCATCTCTCCTCCAACCACCACCACCACCAATCACAAAGCAATCACCAATCCTCACAGTTCTCCTAGATAGGTCTCTTATTTGTCTGCTTTCTTCCATTCTCATGCCACTGTCACCGCTGTCCTGATATACTGAAATAATCTCCTAACTAGGATCACATTATCCCAGTCACTTCTCTGTTACTGCATCCAAGGTGGTCTAAAATGTTAACTTAAGCATGTCACTCTTACACATAAGGCTCTTCAAGTCTCCTCACAGCTCTCGGGAGGAAATACACACTCATAAACATAGCTTAAAAAGCCGATGGAGTGGATCCTGTGTTCAGGCCTTGCCTCAGGCTTGTTTCCTTTCCCATACCTCTTTCCCTCCTTGCAAACCATGTCCAGAAATAACAACTTGTTTCATTTCCCTAAACACTTTTGGTACTTGCTGCTCTGGCCTGCGTTTCCTTACTCATCCTACTGTATTGGAATTGTCTGCTGTCTTGCCTTACTTTCCCAAGCCATCCAGGCCCCCACCGTCTTTTCAGGGCTGCTACATACAGGGTACTTAAGATTTGTTGATTAACTATCTAAGGTCTACAACCAGATATTAACCAGATAGTTAACTATAAACATAACACAGCCTACACTAAAATTCTGTTAGTGGTTGCTCTGGGAGAGGAATTCCAGAGAAGGTAGTAGAGACTTCGGTGCTTTGCTTTGAGCAATATAGGATAACAGATTGAGATGTTGAGTTTTGTTTATTGCTGTTGTGGAAGAATAAAAATGAATGAGAGCTATTTATATTTTGTTGTTTCTTTTCCCTCCTTCCATTCCAAGAAAGTAGCCTCACTTTCTATTTCCTTGCCTCAGGGGCATTTGCCAAAAGGAAGTGTTGGTTAAAGACATTTCTTTTAGCTTTTGTGAAAAACTGAACTCACTGAGGAAATGTAAGTGTTCTGGAGGCAGAAAGGAGTATGAGTTGGAATAGGGGAAGGGAGTGGACCAGGTCTCTAGAACCATGAGGGATGAGGGAGAGAGGTCTGGGATGTGCCAAGTAGTGGGATTCTGAAGGATGGGACTCCTGCGGTATGACTGAGTGGTGGATGCTGGGAGGTTGGACATTGGCAGAGATGCACCTACAGGGTTTCAAAGATCATGTCTGAACAATGGGCATATTTGTGGTAACTGGTATGGACAAATATCAGAGGAGTTCCTTGGACATTCTAGTTTTCATAAAACCCTGGGATTTTTGTGTCATTCTGTGAGGGAAAGCTCTC